CTGTGTGTTTGTTGTCACTGTGAGTTATGTTGGGGGAGTGCACGAAGGGAGGCTCAGCCAATCTCATTGTACACATGTTGTACTTTGACAATAAAGGTTGATTTGATTTGATTTCTCATATTTTCCACATATATCAAGTTCACATCATCCAACCGTAAGATTTTTTTTTTTTTTAATAAGAACCAATCTGAGTCAGTCATCGAGACCGGAGATTCAGCCTTCCATGCTTTTGGACTCATGCTGCAACCCATCCAGAATGGTGGAGAGAAGTTCCCCGCGGATGGGCTCCAGCACAAGTCTTAATAAAGCTCAGAAGACTAAATCTCTGGTCCCCATGACCGACACAGATTGGATCCTGCAACGTTATCCTGGGACACATATATTTGCCTTCATTCGTAAGATTTTTTTAAAAACCGAATCTCTAAATTCTGTATTAATTTTGGTGCACGTTTCTTGAAACATAAGGAAACATTTGTCTGCACTTGTTTATCACATCACATTGTGTGAATCTGTCCAGTCTTGTACAGTCATTTTTCTATTGTACTCTTTTTTTTAAAAGTAATATTTACATTATAAAATTTGGAAAATATTATATTTTGAATATGCTTATGGAGATTCTAGTCATCCAGGTCATGGTTGTCCCAAAGGTGCTTTTTCAAAATGTAACTGGACTTCCTTTATTTTTTCCTTGAAGAAGTTTCACTTCTCATCCAAGAAGCTTCATCAGTTGAGTGTGTTTTGAGTAGTACTAACATGAAATTCAGTTTGTAAGTTATTATTTTCTTCCCATCTCTAGTGAAATGGAAAGGCCATAGGTGACTGATTTAGTCCCTTCTAATTTTCTGAGTCCTAAATAAAATCTCAGACTTACAAATCTTGAAATACTTAAGAAATAGCTCAGTAAGTTCAGAGCCTCATTATAAAGCTGGACTTTATAAGAATGGCAACTTAGGACTGAATGTATGTGCTGCATTAAGCCATCATGTTTGTTAGGTTTATTGTGTGTAGCCAGCTGCTGCACTTCGTAAACAAGGATTTCTACTTGGCTATGTGGTATGAATCCAGTCTGCTGTGGCTTGGTCAACATACCGTGACTAAATTAAAAAAAAAAAAAGGCTGCCTGTGATGTATAAACAAGCTGTTGATTATAGTCTTTTAAGATATCAATTCAGATCTGAAGTACATAACATACAAAATAAAGCAGAAACTGTCAGGGGGTAGCATATTCAGAACTGTAAAAGCAACTGGTGCTTTGGGATAATTAACATCATGGTCCTTTTGCTCTGGTTGTCCAGTTCTTATTACCTAATTTGAAGTCCAAGATACAAATCACATGTGGCCAAGTGTTACTGGAATATTAGGCAATTTGGTTGAACTTTCCTATTTGGATATCCTTATAATCGTTTACCAATCCCTTGAGCTAATACTGCTGGAGCTGATGGTTTGGTCCTGTTGTTGGTTACTAGATAATTTATCCCCGAGAGCCTAAGACTTTCCATAATTTATTTTCTGCCACATCTCCAGATATTCTGCCTTTGTGTTATGAGATGGCAGAAAAATCTACTTTTGAAGGACACTGGGGAAAAAAAAGGAATAGGATGAGATGTTCCATCATAATTATTTCTCATAGCTCAGTTTGAGAAATAGATTATTTATATACATACATAAATATATATATCCAACAATTTGAGTGGATGAAAGTGGACTCTTGGGCAAGATAAGGAGCCCTGGAAAACCTTTTAGAAGGATTGATGTATATACTGTATACTGACTCTGGAAGAATCATTATGAGAAGCTCAGACAGAGTTAATGTTTCTCCTAATGTGTCCATGTTTGTATTAGAATTTTTCAAGTTTTAATCTTTTTTTGTCTTCTACAATGCGGATGAGGATTGAGATCCTCAACATCAGCTTTGAGAAAAGTGACTTAGGATCATTTTTCATAGTTACGACCGTTGCAGCATCCCTGTGGTTATGTGATCAAAATTCCAACACTTGGCAAGTGAGTCATATTTACGGCAGTTGCAGTTTCCTGGGTCCCGTGATCCCCTTTTGCGACCGTCTGACAAGCCAAGTTAATTGAGAAGCCAGAGTCACTTAACAACCGTAGTTATTAACTTAAACACTGCAGTGATTCACTTAACAACTGTGGCAAGAAAGGTCGTAAAATGGGACAAAACCACTTAGCAAATGTCTCGCTTAGCAACAGAAATTTAGGGCACAATTGCGGTCGTACGTCAAGGACTTAGCTGTAAGAGAGTTTCTGCCAACAAAGCGCTGTTGATCACCTTTTTCCTTTGCGGACGAACCTGAATTCTTTGGAAAACTATTTGAGCTAGTAATAGCCACACATTCAGCCATTTTGAGTAGGTGCTCCTGGGTGGATCTTAGCACTTGTAGTAAATCCCCACTGATAACCCTTGTTATAAAGATATCCACAATCTGAGCTTAACACGGAAATGTAGGATGCTACGCAAAACAGAAAAAGAATAATCTTACACATGTACGTCCTCCTCGCCCGCCAAAAACATTTTTTAAAAAAATCTGAAGGAGACAGAAGTGAGCCTGGTGTTTGCTGTAAAGAATCTGGAACTACGGTAATCATTTTATTATAAGCAGCTTGGAGTCACTTAGGAAAGACGGGCAGTGTAGAAATATGATGAATAAAGAAATAAATACTGTTTATAAAAACACACACAATAAAAACTTTCCGCCCCATCAATAAAGTATTCCCAGACTTTTGTTTTTAGAAGATTTTATATCAGTGGGATTATGAACTGCTTTTTTGCCAATTGTCATGAGAATATTGGAGTACATTAAAGGCATTTTTCCAGTGATGCCACATGAGACTCTGAAGTTTACTGTTTTCCATAAAGAAATTAACTGCCTCAATTAACAGAAGGATATCAAACTGGAATGTATGAAAAATAAAGCCTGGCTCTCAATCAAAAGGATTTTAATAAGGCATGTAATCCAGAACAGGATGCCAATGATCTTTAAAGGACAAATAAGGCAGTCTACATGTAAAAAAAAAGGCCTATTAATTGGGCATTGAAATTTAAAGAAATCAGAGGAAGGATTTCCATCATGAAGACTGTGCGGCCACAACAACAAAAATTTTTTTTTTTAAGAGAGAGAAGTTTATTGGGCTAATAAATGGCATGTACATATTACAGCATCCAAATTAAGTTTTTTTTCACAGCAGTTTTGTGTTCCACATTTGTCAACTCATTCATTCGTGCATGCATGCATGCATGCATGCATTCAACCGCTGCCTATTTCACATTCCAGACGGTTTACAATTAAAGCATAAACTAACCCTCCCCAAAACCAAGCAACCATACAAATGTTAAAAACAACGAAGGACGGGTTCACCCACTCGTTCCAAAACTGCAAGGTTTCTTTTAAAAGGGAAGCAGAAATCCAGGTTTTCAAAAAGGCGCTTTAAACAAACGCGCATCAAACGATGCAGAAAACTATAGGCAGGGCGAAAAGAAGAATGACAGCCCTCTACAGGCGGGGCTTACGTTTCCCTAGCAACCGTCGCTACCTGTTCCTTCCTCTCTCTCCCCCCCCCCGCTCTCTCTTCCTCCCTCCCTCTCTAAGGCTAGCAATAAGGACCAGGGAAGGTCCCGCCCCCGGCTCGGCCCGTCCAATCACAGCAGAGGAAAGCGGCCTTCGTACCACGCGTTGTGTTTCCGAGCGCGCGCGTTGATGACGCCACGACGTCCGCGCCAGGCCAGAAACCCCTGTGGGCTTGGGCTGGACCCGGCGCCCTCCCGGCCGCGGGCTGAGGTGAGTCCGTTCGGGGCGGCCCGGCGAGTTCCGGCCCTCGACGGGGCGCCGTAGCTGCCCTGGTCCTCCTTCTTGGCGCGGCCTCGGCGCGGCCGGGCTGGGCTGGACGGTCTCGGCCGCCTCGGTCCTCCCGGGCCTGCGCTTGTTTTCTACTCGGTCCGCGTGCCAGGCCCGTTTTCCGTGGCCGCCGCCTGGCAGCGCGCCTGGCGAGTCTGGGGGCTCCCTCAGGCTGCCTCGTCCCCCGGGCAGAGTTTTTTTTTCCACGCAAGGCGGCGGTCTGGGAAATACAGCGCCCGCATTCTGACAGCGGGTTGCCCCCGATCCGTGTCTTGAGACTCCAGTACCCATCATTCCCAGCTGGCATGTTCTCCCAACCCGTCTGGAAATGAGATACTTCAGCAGGCAGGATGGGAAATATCAGTAAAGGGAGGCGGTGGATCCCTGCCGGGAAAAAACGTCTAGAATTAGCTCTTTTTTTTAGATACAGAAATCCTATATTTTGGTAATATATTCTATCCTATATAGAAATTCCTATATTTGGGTAATAGGAATCTGTCCCAGATAGACCCCCCCCTCTCTCCCCCTCTTCCCTTCATCTAGCACGGTCTTTTAAACTTTACAAACCCTTTAACTATATAACTGAGTCCTGAGTCCGCTAGGAGAAGGGCGGGGTAGAAATTTAAATAATAAATTTAAATAATAAATACATAACTTGTTACCAAAGCTTTTTTTATTATTGCTGGCTGGGGAATTCTGGGAGTTGAAGTCCACACATTTCAAGTTGCCGAAGTTGAGAAACATTGATTTGGGGTAACTCTGAATTGAATTTGTGGATGAACCATGTTTCTCATTGTTAAGCTCTGGTCTCTTTTTTTAAATTAATTTTTGAGATGTTGCGAAGTCAGGCCTGTCCTTGTGTATGACACCCTTGGTGGTCGTAAGTCAAGGACTCCCTGTATCAACGCTGAAGCCCTGATGCTTTCTAGCCATAGAAACTGGATATTTTTTTAGCTACAGCATTTTTGATACTTCTAAAAAGTTCCTGATGTTTGAATTAAGCCTAAATGAGGGAGCTTTAGCTAGAGCCACAAAACACTGATTGTTCTTTCTTTCTCTTCAGCTTCTTGGGATGTTGCAATGGTTGGAGTTGTTCCAGACATGGTTGCTGTGGTGCTATCCCGGGAGACCATTTTGGTGGAGGACTAGTACCATTTAGTGATGGGCTGTGGGACCAGTAAAGTACTTCCCGAGCCTCCCAAGGATGTCCATTTGGATCTTGTTAAAAAGGTCGAGCCCTACACTGGTTATAAAACTGACATATATAAACTTTTCATCAAAGGTGATGGCGATGCCATCAAGTCTGCTATTCCTTCCCCTCCGTGTCACACCAATCCGTATGTGGAACAGCAGGAGCCCCGTAAGAGCAGAGTGGCCAAGTACCGTGCCAAATTTGATCCCAGAGTGACAGCCAAGTATGACATCAAAGCTCTGATTGGCCGAGGTAGCTTTAGTCGCGTGGTACGAGTGGAGCATAAAGCTACCAAGCAGCCTTATGCGATCAAGCTGATAGAGACCAAATACCGCGAGGGGAGAGAAGTATGCGAATCGGAGCTGTGTGTGCTACGCCGAGTGCGGCACACCAACATCATCCAGCTCATCGAAGTTTTTGAGACTCAGGAGCGTGTCTACATGGTGATGGAGCTGGCCACAGGAGGCGAATTGTTCGACCGTATCATTGCGAAAGGCTCTTTCACGGAGAGAGATGCCACCCGAGTGCTACAGATGGTGTTGGATGGGGTTAAATACTTGCATACGTTGGGCATAACTCATAGAGACTTGAAGCCAGAGAACTTGCTGTATTACCACCCGGGTATGGACTCTAAGATCATGATCACAGATTTCGGGCTAGCGAGTGCTCGGAAGAAAGGAGATGACTGCTTAATGAAGACCACCTGTGGGACCCCAGAGTACATTGCCCCAGAGATCTTGATCAGGAAGCCTTACACTAACTCTGTGGACATGTGGGCGCTTGGGGTGATCTCGTACATCCTACTAAGTGGGACGATGCCTTTTGAGGATGATAATCGCACCCGCTTGTATCGGCAAATTCTCAAAGGAAAATACAGTTACTCGGGGGAGGTGAGTAAAGAGTTGATGATGATGATGTGTATGATGAGAACATGCCAGAAGGAAAGTAAACATATATACACAATCCACGTAATTTTAAATAAAACTACTTCGGGGGTCTGGCAATGACCACCTAACTGGATGTCCAATTCAGCTATTCAAGCAAGTGCCTCTGGCGTTGCTTCATGCATATCTTCTAGGGAACCGGAGAACGCATGACCTGGGCAATCTTGCACAATATGTTTAATAGTTTGTATATCAACACCACAATCGCAACAAGGGGAATCTTTCCATCCCCACTGATAGAGAGCAAAGGCACTTCTTCCAGTGTCAAATTTAATTAAAGGAGATAAAGGAATAGTGCTGTCTCTATAATGTTATTGCAGCGACGTCTTCAATATTTGAATCACTTCTCAAAGGGGATAATCTGCTTTTTCTGAATGGCTTTGCTCTGACAAGTGGGTCTCTTCTAGAAATATGCCTGTTGCCAGGGAATGGTTGAGATGGCCCAAGAGGCTGCATTGTGATAGCTCCAAAATAGTAATGGAAGAAATAACTTGTAGCGCTACGCAGCTGTAATGTTCTTAATACTTAATCAAAATACAGTGATACACAAATACGTAGTATTTCTTAATCTTCTTGAAATTTCGCCTGTGGGAGATACCTTTCAGGTGTGCTGTAGGTCAAATTGCTTGATATTTCATTTGATCAGTTGTTTTATGTATGTTTTGCTACGTTATGTCATGCAAACATCTTTTATAGATGATCTCCAGCTTCCTATTGAGTATGGTAACTCAAATTAAAATACATTGACTTTTAAATTCCTCTGATGAGGCTTAAATCAGAATTCCATCAAATGTATATCAAAAATACAAAGCTACAGTGTCTTGCCAAAACTATTTGATTATTGAGTTTATCTCTCTTAGATTCAAGAGCTGACTTTTCTCCCTAACTGTATTTGCACGTAATAACAAAAAAATTAAATTTTGGTGCAATGACTCTTTGCAAACCTAAGTGAAGCCTCGGATTTCTGCACTCTTATTTCTTTCTCTTCCTGCTCTTCAGAAGAAGAATTATGTACAACTTAATTTAGCTGTCCACATTCTTGTTTCTAAATCAAAACGTGACTTAAAACAAAAGGATTTGTTGGTAACTTTCTTTAGCAATTGGCAAAACATGATTCCTGTTTAATGATCAGCCAAGAATGGAAGAAAGATAAACACAATTTATTAAGAGTCTTCCTCTTAGCGTGCACAAAGATAAATATCCACCCCTAGTGTTCTCCCATATTTTCAAAGAAATGTCTGTAGACTTTGCAAAATTCTGATTTAGTGCTACGGTACAATCTGGTGTAATGTTTAATTTCTTTTAAAGGATTATTGTTTGCTTGTTCCCAGCATCATCCCTCTTTTGCATTGCAGAGTTAACTCCTATGCACTTCTTGTGAGAAAAAAATTCAAGAGGTTTAGCTCTTGTATCAAAGAAGTATTTCAACAGCAGGGATCTTTCTCCTTTTCCACTCGTTCCAAACCAGTGCCTTTTCCCAAAATGAGACTGGGCTCAAATTTGTAACTAAAATTGCTGAGACTGTTGACAGCGAAATAAAAATTGAAGGGTAGATTTGACAAGAAAAATCTGACACCAGCTACAGGCAGTCCTCGACTTACAAGCACAATTGACCCGAACATTTGTGTTGCTAAGCAAGACAGCGAATTTTTGCCCCGTTTTATGAACTTTCTTGCCACAGTTGTCAAGTGAATCACTGCAGTTGTTAAGTCAGCAACACGGTTGTGAAATGAATCTGGCGTCCCCATTGACTTTGCTTGTCCGAAGGTCACAAAAGGGGAATCACGTGACCCCAGGGCACTGCCACCGTCATAAATATGAGTCGGTTGCCAAGCATCTGAATTTTGATCACATGACCGTGGAGAGTCTGCAACAGTCATGCAGGTGAAAATGGTCACAAGTCCCTTTTTCGGTGCCGTTGTAACTTCGAACGGTCACGAAGTGAACTGTTTTAAGTCGAGGACTGTCTGTCTTGCAGTTGCTGCCTGCCAGTGCGACAGCAGGAGTCTTCCTAGTGTGGTTCCATTCTTGAAGCGAGGATCTATTTTCAAGAGGCTATTAAGCGATCAATGGCCACGGTACTCTAATAACTCATTCAGGTTCTGCTGACTTCAACTGCTCTAATTATTATTCTTTGGCTCCTGGATGATATATAGCCGATGACCACGGAGGGAAATTTAATGCAGCTTGGAGAGACACTACAAACACTTCTGACGATATTAAGCTTCCTGCCTTATAGCGCTTATCAGAGTAGGATCAGCTCAATTTATCTGTTAGGAACTAATTGTGTTTTTCCCTGCACCCTGCAGCTTCTTTGCTTTATCAGAGCTTCTTTAAATAAGCAGAAGGCTTTGTTTTACCATAGGAAAAAAAAATGTTTTTGGAATACACAGCAGAAAAGCTCTTTCTGGTGTGTCTGCTGATTCCAGATGAGAAATCAAATGGTTTGATGTATCCTATAATAAAAACTCAATATAGACTTATCCCCAAATTACCTTCCTGTATTTTTGACTAATTTATACATGGGGCCACATCACAGGGAGTGATGGATATTTTGCATTAACAGCAACAACTCTATTTGTTACTAGTCCAAATTCAGTCATTGAGGTTTCATGACTGAGAATGGGGTGAAATCTGGGCCCTTACCTATTCTAATCAGACTGCTTTACTACATTGGCTCTTCCCCTGGAAGATACTTTTAATTCTGGAATGAGAAACAATGACTTTATAGCCGGGGTCTCCAAACCTGGCTACTTTAAGACTTATGGACTGGCTGGCTGAGGAATTCTGGGAGTTGAAGTCTACAAGTCTTAAAGTTGCCAAGCTTGAAGACCCCTGCTTTATAGGTATGGTTAGTTTCCAGTTCCTATTAATAAGCAGTCAGTGTGAGGGAGGTTGGAGAGTCCCACAGGAGTTGGAGGGCCTTTGGTTTCCGCCCCTCATTAGCGTTACAGATACCTAGGCTGAGGGCTCAATTTTCAAGTGCATGCAAGAATGAAGTAACAAATCCATGAAAGTCTTGACTGGAGCGGAGACTACAATATTCTACTCTTAAGAGGGCCTTGAGAGCGGTTCCACCATTTCTTCGAAGAAAAGAAATCCATTTACCAAGGAATGTGTTTTTGCATCCCTGGCAAAGAGCTTGAGCCGGTGATGGTGAGGCTTCATGCGATCTCAAGGGACTCTGTTAAAAAGGCAGAGTGTTCTGCCTTTTTATTTCATTTTTTTTTTTAAAAAAAAGAGAAGTAATGAATGGAGCTTGAAATAAGATGCTTCCATCCCTGAGGTCATCCTGACAAATGCGCACTCCGAAGCTTTCTTTTCCTTTCCCCCTACCTTTAATGCAGCTGTCCATCTCACAAACTAACGTACATAGAGTCTGCTCCCTTTTGTGCTGATCTGATTGCAGATCTGATGCACTGGACAGAAAGTACAGATTCGTACCGTGTTTGTGGTCCTTCAAAGTTGAAATGGCCGCAGGCCTATTTGCCTGCAACCTCGGCCGTAGTTAATCAGAAGATTGTATGTAAGATGTTCCTATGAGGATGGAGAAGGCTGTATTTGGGCTAAAAACTTTTGTGGACTTGAATTTTGCCCACTCCGTGTTGACCGTGAGAACAGAAATTGTTTAACTGGGATTAATCCCAGCAATAAAACTAATTTATTTTGCTTTCAACTGCTTAGATTTCAGGTTGATGTCACTGGAAAGGTAGTCGCAGACAGGATGTTGTCAAGAAAGTTTATTATTTCTCGACTTAATTTTTGTAACATAGTAGTGTGGTAGAATGCAGATTTGACTCAGACAAGGAAGAAGAGAGTACCCAGCCATTATAGAAAAGATATTTGAATTCTGAGAAAGTGGAAAGTGTGAAAAAACCCAACTCTACCTGGATTGTGTAAGGTATAAATTGAAGCAGACAGGCTTTCAGGATTCCGTCATCCACAATCCAAGACTTCTAGCATTTCCTATTTCCTAAACCTCATTATCTCAAAGGGTCGACCCATTGTCTCTTAAAATGTATGTAACATAGAATCACAACACTGGAAGGGACCTTGGAGGTCTTCTAGACCAACCCCCTGGCCAACACAGAAGTCCTTATACAATCCCAAATGGATGTTCAAATTTGGTCTCCCCATCTGATATTGTCCACAGTTTGTTTGTTTTTTTCAACGTAGTACTAGCTACGTAGTTCTTGCAGCTTTCAGCTTTTATTTTTGCACAATGTGATATTTTGCATTTTATGTTTTCTGGAATTTTAGCTGATGAGAATATTGTGGTTTCCGTTCAGATTTTAGGATTTTTGGAATATTTTGTGGCATTTGTTTCCAGTATTATTATTTTTTTCATTTGTATAAAGTCTGTATAGACCTACACCCTTACATATAAGTAACATATAAAGTTCTATTTACTGATCCAAGTTATTATCTTCTCAGTTCCTGGGAAAGAGAAAAGGAGTTTTCAAAACATTCCAGGTGGAAAACATGTGCACCTTATTTCATTGTGTGGAAAATGGATGATTAGCTCTGTCAAAAGATGGTTACCAAGAAAGTGAAGTAGCTAGATTATCGGGTCTTAAAATGAATGTATTTAGTTGTAGAAATGTCAAGGAGGGCCATGGGTCCCCCTCCCCTAAGGAAGTACCTTTAGTGGGACCAAGAAGAAGGCCCTCCTTTATGGTAGCTCCCATCATCCCCGCAGAAATAAGATTGGCCCCCCAATTTGAAACTCTTTCACAAGGAAAATAAATACCCTAATCTTTTCCCCCCTTTAAATACATACAGTTGGAGAAGCCTCCGTGAAAATTTCATTTTGGTTTGTTTGGCTGTTAAAATATTCACAGATCCATGGGGTTGTTGTTGTTAGTTGCGAAGTCAGGTCCGACCCATCGCGACCCCATGGACAATGTTCCTCCAGGCCTTCCTGTCCTCTACCATCTTCTGGAGTCCATTTAAGTTCACGCCTACTGCTTCAGTGACTCCATCCAGCCACCTCATTCTCTGTCGTCCCCTTCTTCTATTGGCCTCAGTCTTTCCCAGCATTAGGCTCTTCTCCAGGGAGTCCTTCCTTCTCATTAGGTGGCCAAAGTACAGATCCATAAGGGTGGCAAATATGAAAGAAGCATTCTGGATGATTTTTGCCAAGCGACTTGTGCTATGGATTGTTTCTTAACACGGTTGTGACACTTTTGGACATATAATAAGGCTACTCTACAGCACGATCATTTATTTATTGTCAACGATATGCATTGTTAAAGGTGAGCTGGACAAAATGGACACAAGACTCATTAGAAGATAGTGCCTGGTAAGCTACTGTAAATATCAGCTAGAGCTTCCAAATGTCCCAGGCAGTATATTATACAATTTCTCACTGTTTAGCTTGCTAAGTCTTTTGCTGACTGCGACCATTTCCCCGGCACTCTGTTACTTAGTAGTACCTATTTCTTTTCTCTGGTGTGCAGAACAAGAATTTTGCTTGTTTCAGTCAATATATTTAAGCCTGTGTTTCCCCTGAGCCTGATCCTAATACTTGGGACTCCTTGAGCTGTCCAGTCATACAAACTGAAATAGAATGGCGATTTTTTGAAGCTCTTAATAATAATAATAATAATAGTAAAGTTGGAAGGGACCTTGGAGGTCATCTAGTCCAACCCCCTGCTCAGGCAGGAAACCCTATACCATTTCGGACAAATGGCTGTCCAGTCTCTTCTTTAAAAACCTCCAGTGTTGGAGCATTCACCGCTTCTGGAGGCAGGTTGTTCCACTGGTTAATTGTTCTAACTGTCAGGAAGTTTCTCCTTAGTTCTAGGTTGCTTCTCTCCTAGATTAGTTTCCACCCGTTACTTCTTGTCCTGCCCTCAGGCACTTTGGAGAATAACTTGACTCCCTCTTCTTTGGGGCAGCCCCTGAGATACTGGAAGACTGCTATCATGTCCCCCCTCGTCCTTCTCTTCATTAAACTAGACATACCCAATTCCAGCAGCCTTTCCTTATATGCTTTAGCCTCCAGTCCCCTAATCATCTTTGTTGCTCTTCTCTGTACTCTTTCTAGAGTCTCAGCATCTTTTTTACATCGCGGTGACCAAAACTGGATGCAGTATTCCAAGTGTGGCCTTACCAAGGCATTGTAAAGTGGTATTACTCTATTTCGTATTATACTGTAGATCAGGGGTCTTCAAACTTGGCCCTTTTATGACTTGTGGACTTCAACTCCCAGAATTCCTCGGCCAGGCATGCTGTAGCACATTTTTTCCTATGGGTTTCCCCCGCTCCAGACTAAAATGGATGTAAGCCTTGCATGGTTGACTAGGCGCCATGCTATACCTAGTCAGGCAAGGATAAGTTGACATTGAATAACTTGTTGTTCTGCTTTTGGAACCGAACCATTGTCTTGGCCTCATGTGGTGTGACCTAAGCCATCTTATTAAGCCGTGATATTCAAGCAACATTATTATGTGGGGTCTGTTTTGGTTTAGGATTCAGATGGGGAAATGCGCCCACCCACTTACCTATCCATGAAGTTGTTGCATGCGAATCATCTTTTTCCCTTGCTTGAAATTTAAGTGGTAGCATAAGAATAAGTTCAAAGGCGTGTTTTAACATTGCATCTAATGTAGCTCTCCTTGAGCAAATACTAAAAAAAAAAAAAATACAAAGAAGTAATATTAAGCTCATGAGATTGAGATCCTGTGGCCAGCTTGCCATGTTCCTCTCATTTCATCCTAGAAAATGAAACTGGTCATTTTAATGGGCAGCAGGCAAAGAAGCTAGTAAGCTCATTTCACTTCTAACCTTAATAGGGCTTATATATTTTTTCCCTTTTCTTCAGAAGGGTAGCTTAATTAAATTAAGCCAAAGATACATACTGTACAGCAGGTGAAGCCTCCAGCAAGATAAACAGATCAATAAACTAATTTGTGTTTGCTGACTAGAAGAGATTTCTAATTACTAGTGCTCTCTGCTTACCATTTCAGAGGGTGGCAAAGTAATTGAAAGGATAAGAAATCCAATTCTTTGTTGTTTGAGAATTTGTTCCTGTTTAGCGCCCCTTAACTGAGCCGGTAATGCTGACTCGCTTGTCAGATTGAAGGGGATAATTTATTGCTACCTGTCTCAGTTCCCTACTCAGGAGTTGCTTCACATTTTGGTTCAAATAATACTGGTTGGTTAAATTGTTAAAATAACATTAAAACATTAACACTGGGTGATGATAATTAGCATTTTTAAATTTAACATTCTAGCAGTATGTGATCTCACCGAATACCTAACTGCAAACATGGTCCGATTTTTGTTTTGTTCTATTTAGGTACAAAATCTAGATCAAGAAGAGAGGTATAACTGTTTATTTACTCCTGAATAGGGAATTGTTTTGTAGAGAGAAGGCAATACCAAATTCTTGAAGATGAAACAAATTCTTATTTTGGATATTATCGTGATGCCCATAATAATAACGTAGTTAATCAAATGATAGGTAAGAGTTATGTTTCACCAGGGGTTCTGTGCAAATGTGAAATTGCAGGAGCCGTGTGGGTACTTTGTACTCCTTTTCCTCTTGGCATTGCTGCTGTTGGAAATGAATTTGTGCTAAGCTCCAGTAGTATAAATTGTGTATCCGTCTAATTAGACGGTCAATTCTATGTCTGGAAGGAGCACTGAGAGACCACGAGAGATATTAAACAGATTTTTTTTATCTAATCTCAGGGGTTATTGAATATCCATTAATACTACACTCTAACCAGAAACCCATTCTCAGTCTCTACTGATGTTTTACTCCAGAGATCTCCAACCTTTTGGGCACTAGGGACCGGTTCCGTGGAGAGAGGTTTTTCCGCAGACCGGGGGGGGCGGGGGGCGGGGACGTGGTTTTGTGTGCTGCCTGCATCCCGTGGATGGGACTTTGCTTGTTTGTGTGGGCCGGTTGCTGGCATGCTGCGGCCCAGTACCGGTCCCCAAACCAGGGGTTGGGGACCCCTGTTTTACTCAACTTCTGGAGCAACAGTTTGCAATGGTCGTCCCCGGGAATCACTTGGTTAGGGAAAATCCAACGTAAGTCATAGTTGGAAGTCCATAGACAAAGGAATTCTCAGGGAGAGAAAATGACATGGTGCTTGCAAGCGCCAAGGAGAAAACTCCATATTTAAAGAAAAACAAGTTGGCTTGCTTATTGCCAATTTTAATAGCAATAGCACTTAGATTTATATACTGCTTCATAGTGCTTCATATATACAGCACTCTCTGGGTGGTTTACAGAGTCAGCACATTGCCCCCAACAATCTGGGTCCTCCTTTTACCGATTTTGGAAGGAGGGAAGGCTGAGTCCATCTTGAGCCTCGTCCGGATCGAATGCCAGGCTGTGGGCAGAGTTAGCCTCCATTGCCACATTCTAACCACAATTAATGTTTTCCCTGTCCCTTTGTTTCTCCTTAATTTTCAGCCCTGGCCCAGCGTGTCCAATCTTGGTAAAGATTTCATTGACCGCCTGCTCACGGTGGATCCCGGCGACCGGATGACAGCACTTCAAGCCTTAAAGCATCCCTGGGTGGTAAGCATGGCGGCCTCGTCTTCCATGAAGAACCTGCACCGCTCCATCTCTCAGAACCTCCTCAAGAGGGCGTCGTCTCGTTGCCAAAGCACCAAATCAGCTCAGTCCACCCGCTCCAGCCGTTCCACCAAATCCAACAAGTCTCGCCGGGTGCGGGAGAGGGAACTGCGAGAACTGAATTTGCGGTATCAGCAACAGTACAATGGCTGACAGCTCAACAAGAGACTATTTCGCTTCCTTCTTTTCGTCCTTGGGGCGCGTTCCGCAGGGTGCCCACCCAGTGCTCCAGCTGCCTTATTTCTTCTCTGAAAGCTCAGTCTTTGGGTCTGTCTTTCTGTTTTGAAAGAAATGGATATCTTGGGACATTGGCGCCTTTGAGAAAATGCCGTACCTGGGCAGGGTCCGTACAGTACCTCTGCCATGGTGGGAAATGAGGAATGTCTGTTTTTGACCTTCCGGGGTCAAGTCCTGATCTGATGGTCTGAAATACTGGAAACCCATGGAAGGGAGAATCCTTACTCAGTTTGAAACCCTTGCTGCCACTGCTTATTTAATGCCAAAAGTCCATTGTTGTTGGCACAGTGTCTGATGGTTGAGAGAGTTAGAAGGCGATCCTCTGCCCACTTACCTGGAAATAAGCTTGATTAAATTAATGGGGCTGACTTCTGCATAGATGCATATAGGAATACACACTAGGCTCACACACTTAAGATCTGGAATCACCTGGAGCTCGAGGCACTTCCAGGAGTGCACAAAGGGATAATCAATTTTCTTTACCAGTGCGACCTCTTGGACTGTGCTAAACTTTTTTTTTTTAGAGATTCTAGTAACATTTAAAGTTTGGGGGGGGGGCGGGATGTTCTCTAGATCTGGGCCAACATTTAGCTGGAAATGGCTTGGGATGAGCTTTGTTCTTCCTTCTTGCCTCTTATGTATTTGTGGCATTGCTTTGATCTTCATTTTGGGGTGTGTTTTTTTCACTTAACATTGGGATGAATTGTTATAATTCTTCTTATCATTCCAAGTCAGCCAAAGCTGCAGGATCTGGATCAGCATTCCACATTCCCAGAGACTGCAAGAACCTTAACAACTTTTGTCTTCCAACATCATATGGTACCAGTAGATGTCCTGTTACAGTGACAGAATGAGCAGTAGAAAACTCTCATCAAACGTTGTGGTCGAAGTTTGACTGTTAGGCCTGCCTATAGAATGTGCAGAGAATACAACTTAGACTCGTTAACTTACATAGTTTAATGAGATCCACAAATATTCTACACTGCACAGACCCCAAAGGATTAACCCATTTTTTTAAAAAAATTCTACAGTTGCAAACAAAGAGTCCAAAACCAAAACCAGTAATCCTACCGTAGCCATGTTTTAAATAAAGTCAGGTGAAGCAATGCAAATGATTATAACAAGAAGATTTGCACATTTATCAAAATGTATCTTCAAAATCATTAACCAACTTGGAGGGAAGTTGAATTCTTCTATCCTTGTTTAAGCCTGATATACAGCCAAATGGAATTTTGACAATAGCATCAATCCTTTCATTTCAAATGGCGTGGAGAATCTGGTTTTAATGGCTCCATGTAGACAGTGCATCTACCTGCACGTACAAAGCTAGCACATCAGGGAGCAGAGGCACCAGATCTGTATTAGCAAAAAAGGTTTGCAGGCTGTGGGAATGGATTTGGAGTGGCACCCCCTGCCTGCATGGTGAAGTGGTCCAATTAATTCTGCGACCTCATTCTGCAGCATAGGAAGACCCCCTTGTGAAGCAAAGGCTGGCAAAAGACCATCTGGAGTTTCCCTAGTAGTTGAACCTAGCTTTGAAAATAACCATCCCGAGATGCTTTTAATTCTCTACGTCAGCCCAAGTGGCGTTTAGTTGAGCGTTTTGTCCTCTCGATCTTTTTCTCTCCTTTTCCAGATTGGAATTGTGGCCAAGACAGCTAAAAAGTGCCTTTTATCAAGAAACCAACTCCTTTATAACCTGTGGCAGCTCCTGTTTTGCAACCAACACAGATTTCTTTAATGATCATTAACTGGCGGTGTAAAGTTTAGCATTTTCATCAGTCTTGATATTCAAGGGATTTTATCACGTTGGGCAGTTAAATGCCACTGGATTTTATGAGCATTATGAGCCTAAAGATACTTTTTACTCCTGTGAGTGATGATTCTAGAGGTGTCCCTGCAGCTCATTTTTTACATGTACTTGAGCAATGCATTATTACACTTTGGATTTATCTCTACTCCTGTTACTAAGCACACCTTGTGTAGAATTGGTTTGTCAGGCCAGGGTGCCATCTAGTGGTTCAGGACACTCTTTGCCTGTCAGATCAATTAGTGCAAACGTCTATTAACGCTTGATTTCATATCCTATTATTGTTTATCATAATTGGCATACCGTAAATCATATTTTGCTAGCTGTTGGGCCATACCAAATTTCACATTGATGTTTGCATCAAAGGTGCTTCTTCTTTTTCAAAGAAAGTCCAGTTGTCTCTTGAAAAAGCACCTTTGGGACAACCATGACCTGGATGACTGAACATTTCTATGGATGTTGGCCTTTGCAGTATTTATTTGACTCTTCAGAAGATTCTTGGGTCTGGGGTAGAGATTTCTTTTAACTCTTCTTTGTTCCATTCCTTCTGGATAAGATGCCAATTTGACCCCCTGCTTGTCCATGGATATCATTGCTATCTAAGCATAGAGGCGAGAGATTCCCGCGAAGGATGGCTAACTGTAGCCTGCTAAGCCTGTTATAATGATAAGCAAATCATTCACAAAGTGGTATTTTTGTTTTTAAACGCAGGCCACAATTCCTAAGACAAGAAAAAATGATGTTTATCCTGGATAACTGTTAATCCACACTTCTTCCTCTCCCGTTGCAGTTCCTTTTGGTGTTTAGCTGCTAAGTTGATTTATCATACGTACGCAATAACAACCCTTGAATACTGTCCTGATCTTGAGATTAGGTGGTGTCCTTGCTCAAGTTCCCTTTTCTCACTCTTGGAAAAACTAAGCATTGTAAATATACTGGAACTTAGCGACACTGTGTTAGTTTGAAATCCATTTGTGTCTTGGAGAAAGAATGCAAAGTGAGGGTTACGCTCGGATTTGCTAACAATGGGACTCTGAGGAGATGCTATAGATCAGAAGTCACTTCTGGCCCACATTTTGCCACTAGAAATATTTTCTTTTTAAGTCCTGTATTTGAATATCAGTGGGTCCTTTATGCCAGTCTCTTCCTGTCACCTTCTAAGGGCTCATTGGACTAGAGCCACAGTAAGAAGTGTCATTGTGTTACTGCCGAGTAGGAAGAAACATGAGATCTTTTTCTGGGAGAGCGATTTGAAAGAAGACTGTCTGGAGCCAAGCATCTCTGTATTCCACAATGTCAGGATATTTAGCTTTTATCAGGCACTCTAATTATGAAGGCCAAGGGGTCGTCTACCTTTAAACTGTCTTTTTTTTTAATCAGGAATTCTTGCACTTTATCCTATTCCAATAATTTTATAACATTTTCCTACGAGCCACGTGTTTTCAACATTTCCCAACATTTGAAGCATAAATTCCAACGTTTCCCAACATTTCCATTGAATCCCAAGGCAGTGCTTTAACACTTCTGGCTTTTTAATGATTTTATTCTCCAGTGGGAGAAAAATCGAATTTGGAAATGTGACTGGGACTGTACAGTAATTTACAAGTTAGTCAGAGCGGCACTTCTCGTGAAATTATTGCCAGCAAGATAGTCCTCTCCCGGTGAGGACCACAGTCTTCGTCTGCTTACTAACACGTGGTGCACCAACATGGATTTCCCTGCAACTGGTGGAGAGGATATGACAGGAGATCGTTTTAAGGAGGCTTTCTACGTCTGCCATAATGCCTAAGTCGGCCTTTAAGTGTTCGTCTCATAAATGACCAGGATTGTTGTGAGTGGATGGGTAAATACAGGGATGAAGATGGAATTGAAGTAGTTTGTGTTCTTCTGAGGCTTTGTAAACAGAATTCAGCAGCTGGAGAACTTCAAGAAAACGCATTTGGGAATGGGATCAGCTGCATAAATCCACCCCTGTAACTTTGCCAATACTTTCAAAAACTTGCCTTTATCTCAAGAGTGATATAAATGCCATTTTTGCCACTTTAGTGCCTTATTTAAACCACTTAGTCATTTACTTTTGGAAACCCAGGACTTAATTACAGCGAGTCATAGTCCAAAGAACCACTTTGCTGATGATGCACACTTAGTAAATCCAGACTAGTTCCCTTTCTCTCCGTGTTGTGTTACAGATGGCTTTTGAAACTCAGTGTGTCAAGGGAAGTTTGATGTAACACAAGGGACTCCTTTGTTCCAAGGAGGGGGGAAACCATTGCAAATCTGAGTGGCCGTTTTTTGGACTGCTGGCTGTCTCTTTGGGCCCCATCTGATGTCACGGAAGCAGAAACAATACAAGCAAAATGTGAAATTCGCCCTTGGAAAGAAAAATCTGGTGCCTGCCCTGCTTTTAATTTTTCTCCGCTCGGTTCAGCAAGCCACCTTTTTTCCAAACCATGTATCTTAGGGAGGCAGTCTTATAGATGCACTGAAGTGCTAGATCAGGGGTGTCAAACTGCCGGCCCACGGGCTGGATGCGTCATGCTGAAAGCACGCCCACCCCAGCTCCGGCAATGGGGAAAAAGCCACGACACATCACGTGACGTTGCGGTACTTTGACACCCCTGTGCTAGATAGACAGTAGCTGGCCAAGATACTAACAAGTAGTCCTCGGCTTAACAACCATTCGTTTAGTGACAGTTCAGAGTTAGAACGGCACTGAAAAGGGTGACTTGGGACGCTTTTTCACACTTCAGTTGCAGAATCTTCAGGGTGATGGGATCAAAATTCAGGCACTTGGCAATCAGGATGTATTCGCGATAGTTGCGTTATCCCGTAGTCGTCATCTCACCCTCTGCAACTTTCCCACAAGCAAAGTCAGTGGGGAAAGCCTGATTCCGTTCACGACCCACTGAACCATTGCAATGATTTGCTTCACAACGGCGGCAACAGAGATTGTAAAATGGGGCACGGCTCCTTTAACCGCAGAAAATGTAGGTCACAGTTGTGGTTGTTAAAGTCGAGGGTGTCCTGTAATTCTGGGTACAGAGAGTGTGTTAGCAGCTGTACGGTGCTGGGGTTTCATTGAGACCCATTAAGAGTTTTTGTCACCAATTAAGGCTTGATAGGCAACCTCAGGGCTGCCTGGAACCCAACGGAAAATGATATTATTCCTTTCAGATCAGTAGGATTGGGGTTGGGAGGGGGTACTTTCCAAATATTCTGTACTCCAGCAGCCCCCGGTTATATCCTGCTGCTTTCCTGCCAATATCTGTGTGCTGTGAATGTGTCACTTTTGGCACTAGGGCAGGGATGTGTTAACCTTGGCAACTTTGTGGGCTTCAACTCAGCACGGCTGGCTGGGGAATTCTGGGAGTTGAAATCCACAGGTCTTAAAAGTTAACAAGATTGAGTAGCCCTGCACTACAGTCTCCTCTGGAAATCCTGCGAGGCAGGATTAAATGAACTTAGTCTGACTTTACAGATACTTCGCCTCACTGCCATAACATCAACCTTGTCAAAAAGAATTGTTTCTGGAACGTCCCTTACCTCTTTTTCATAGGTCAGCGCGGCTTCCCTTCTCTACTTTTCTCCCGAGTCGTCATATCTGTGATTTTTGTCTTTGGTGCCTTTGGGGATTTTTTTATTTTTTATTTTACACGATGGAATCTCTACTTTTTTTAGAGGGTGATTTGATGCATGACAGTTAACCTGTAATGTTGAAATTAGTGTATGGAATTATTTATTTTGTGTATTCATTTGGAACTGTAACCTTTTATTCAGTAAAACGTTGATCCTCACAGAGTGGTGAAGGATTTGTTTGTGCGCACGCGTGTGTGTGTGTGTGGTTGTAATACATGCTGTAATAAAAGGCAGGCTTTTTCAGATGCGGACGTGCACTTCTGAACTCAACTTAGTGGACTGTGTCGTACGTATTTGAGGGAGGGGGTTATGTCACAACTTTGAGCGGCCGCTAAGTCAGTCATCGCAACTCGAGGATTATTGTAGTCTGCTTCCTTTTATTATGACAGAGGATCACTGGAGGAAGTTTTTTTTTTTCTTTGAAATGAAAACCGATGTGTTTTTTTTTTCTCTTCCATATCTCAGTTGCAAGAATGTGTGTTGATATATTTCCTACGTTGCGAGGAAGTCCCAGTGACAGCGTTTGTCTTGTGTCTCCCAGGGACGTCATCAGTTTCTAGCTACCACTTGATCAATCCAGTTGCGGAATTTGGAGACTCGGGTATACACGGCAGGAGTCCGGACGTTACAGCTGGGGCTTCCCCAGGAGACGATCCCAATCAGATACCAGGCTGAGCCCTTCTTGGTCACCAGAGGGCCACCAGAATCACCCTGAAAGGACAGGAAAGAAAAGCAAATGCTTTTAAGAAAAAAAAACCTCTTTTTTTTTTTTTCTGCCTGGGGTCAGGAAAACTAACCCACGTGGAGCCCAATTTGTGCCAAAGGTGCTTTTTCAAAAGGCAACTGGACTTTCTTTGTTACTTCCTTGAAGACGTTTTTGCTTTAATAGTAATAATAATAATAATAATAATAGTAGTAGTAGTAGTAGTAGTAGTAGTAGTAGTAGTAGTAGTAGTAGTAGTAGTAGTAGTAGTAGTAGTAAAGTTGGAAGGGACCTTGAAGGTCATCGAGTCCAACCCCCTGCTCAGGCAGGAAACCCTATACCATTTATTTATTTATTTTATTTATTAATTATATTTCTACCCTGCCCTTCTCCCTGCGGACTCAGGGCGGCTTACAACCATTGAAAAACAAATACATAAATACAAAAATACCAAATTTAACATGTTAATTAAAATGAAATATTATTCTAAGATCAAAAATTCGAAATATTTTTTTTTTTTAAATTATTTTAAAACCAAATTAAAATAACCCTTAGGCCAGTCCTGCTAACTTGAATAGCCATGGCTATTCAAATGGCTGTCCAGTTTCTTCTTAAAAACTTCCAGTGTTGGAGCATTCACCGCTCCTGGAGGCAGGTGGTTCCACTGGTTAATTTTCATCCAACGAAGTTTCTTGGACGAGAAGCAAAACGTCTTCCAGAAAAAAAACAAAGAAAGTCCAGTTGCCTTTTGAAAAAGCACCTTTGGGACAAACATGACCTGGATGATGGAGAATCTCTCATAGACGGCCCAATTTGTATTTGAAGAAGAGGCCTCTGGGGAAATCCAGGATTGCAGCTAGACTGGAAAACCGAAATAGCATCCTGGAAGAAGACAGCAGTGCCAAGAAAATGACATAGTCGTGTCCGTGATGCCACCAGGAGTTGACCTCAACCCAAAGAAGATTAATTTGATCTTAAAAAACAACAACAACTCTTTGAAGCTCTTCAGGGCCTCATCTTTAGATCATGATTGTCATTCTGGTATTCTTTGAGTGAGTGGAACTCTTAAGACCTCTTCCAACAGGGCCAAAGGAGTGAAAATCTGAAGAGTATTACTGGGTGTATTTCTCTACCTTGCCAAAATAAAATCCATGGCTGCACACCAAGAACCTCCCTCTCAGAGTTTAATACGCTGCCCTGATAAGCTTATAATAGTAATATAATAGTAATAATAACAATAACAACAATAATAATAAAATAATAATAGTAGTAGTAGTAGTAATAATAAAGTTGGAAGGGATCTTGGAGGTCATCTAGTCCAGGGCTTTTCAATCTTTTCATCCATTGTACCACTTTTAGGATATGGCAACATCTGAGTACCACCAGTCGCCTAGCAAGGTGTCAAAAACTTGATAAAGTACAGGTAGTCCTCGACTTACAACAGTTCGCTTAGTGACTGTTTAAAGTTACAATGGCACTGAAAAAGGTGCCCCCCCCAAGCCACAGCCGAGCAAGACGCCTGCGCACCCGGCCGCGCTCTTCCTCCTGTCCGAGGTTTTCATTGTTGTGAGCATTTCTGTTGAGGATTGGCAGCAGGGGTGGGGTGGGGGGTGTTTGGTTTTTATTTCCCCCCGTCTGCTGGTGGTTGCAGCAGGTTTTGGTCACTTCACATGACCCTGGGACACTGTGACCATCATAAATATGAATCAGTGGCCAAGCATCTGAATGTAAATCTCAAGACCCTGGAGATGCTGCAACATTCCAGCTGATCGGCGCTTCTTCTGGGCTCAGCCGAGCTCCAGCTGGAGCCTGGCGCTGATCCTGGCGCTTCCGCTGAGCCCTGACAGCCCTGCAGCTCCAGCCGTCTCTCGCTCAGGCTTGTGCGGTGCTGCCACCGGTTCAGCTCATTCCCCTCCCCCGCTACCACTTTTCTAGGATGGTCGCGTACCACCTGCCAGGTGCCAATGTACCACAGGTGGTACCCCGTACCACTGGTTGAAAAGCCCTGATCTAGTCCAACCCCCTGCTTTTTACAGAGAACCTTACATGGCAGGACGTGGAACCGGCTCCGCCAGCACATATCATAGAACTGGTGATAGTATTGGAGTGTTTTTGCTGGCACTCACTTGCCGACACCAGGGGAAGAGCGACTTGCTGCAATATGGTTGCAGGTTCATTTGCTGTCAGAAAGAAAGAAAGAAAGAAATCAGTGTGGAGGAAGCAACCAGCTGGAACTGTCAGATTGAATTAAAGAAGGCAGGCTGGTGTCTTTGCTTTTCTCAGCCTGCCTGATTCCAAATGGTCACTTACAAGACAGTCTGTCCCGTCCCCAACCAGTTGTGGCGCACTTTAAACCTGCGGGTAAGGCCTCATTGGGAGAAGGCAGACAGACTGGAGACACATACGCATTCAGGTCTACTGGAGCAGAAAGCTTCAAGAGGGTGATGTCATTATTTATATTGTAAGAGTCCCAGGAAGGATTGGTGATCACCTGGAAAACAGCAGGAGTGGAGGGAGAAACCTTAAAAGATTAGCCTCTGCTTGATTTAAGATCTTAGACGTCCATCACTCCCTGGTAGGCTCGGGAGAGCTTTTCCCATCCCAATACCAAGATTATCGTATCAGCAATACGATTATGCAAGACTGACAACTGCTGATATTTCTGAATGGAAATATCTGGTGTCTGTATGTCGCCTTCAGATCTTAATTTAAAATCACAGATTGTGGGAGTGCTATCTTTTCCTTTGTTTAGAATCTCTTAAAGAAAATAAGTCATAAGGAGAAAGAAAATAAGACTTAGCAAAGCCAACCGCCCTAATTTGCAAACCAGATTTTATAACTTAATGTATAGTGAACAAATTAGGCCAACAAGCCATGGCTTAGCATAACTGTTTGTCATGACATCCACCACTATGGGGTTGCATCGCTCTGTGGGATGAGCATCAATAAATAATTTTAAATTGTTTCCATTACAAACCACATATGATTAGAAACTGATTGGGAGGGAGGAACCCCCCCCAAAAAAGACGGTGATCACGTGATCTCACTTCTATCCCTGATACCTCAATGTGCTTTCCCTTGCATGATGCACTCTTTGGTCATTTGGACATGGTCCCAAATGAGCCTCTCACCTTGACTATGGATCGCCGTTGGGCTGGCGCAGCATTATCGTATCTGTTATACAGTCCAAAGTAAGCAAAATGTGTTCCCGCTCTAGAGAAATAAAAACACAAACCATGTCTAACGTGCTATTGTGACCTTTTTCGCTCTGATGCATACATGCGGCTAAGCTGAATGTAGCATTGAGACATACTGTGTGCTGGAGCAAGAAGAGGTAGGCTAAAGATAATAGGATAGGACAGGATAGAAAATAGAACAAAAGAGAATAGAATAGAATAGAATAGAATAGAATAGAATAGAATAGAATAGAATAGAATAGAATAGAATATGAAAATGGGGACAATAGAACAGAACAGAACAGAACAACAGAACAGAATAGAATAGAATAGAATAGAATAGAATAGAATAGAATAGAATAGAATAGAATAGAATAGAATAGAGTAGAGTAGAGTAGAGTAGAATAGGAATAGAATATTGGCCAAGTGTGATAGGACACACAAGGAATTTATCTCTGGTGCATAAGTTCTCAGTATTCAGACATAAAAAAACAAAGTGATAGGTCTTAAATCATAAATACGTAATAAATAGGCTATCCTTAATAGATAGCCTCTGTTGAGATTCAAACTCTTGAATCTCAGATCATTTTGTTGATTCAGTAATTCAGAAAAGGGATAGAATAGTTTGGAGATATTGATGGAGAAAGAGATGATTAAATCAGAGAAGACCTTTTGATGGACAGAGGCCAAAGGAGTGGTCTTTCACGGCTAGAATTCTCTTTCACTTTTATGGGAGGGATAAAATCTTAGAGCAGGGCTGTCCAACTTTGGCAACTTTTAGACTTGTGGACTTTCCAAATAAGGATGAAACGCGGTGCCTCTAGGACGTGATCAATATAACAAGAACAGGGAAAGGATCTACTTACTTCACTTTGCAGTGAGCAGCAGTAACAACCCAATTCTGATTTATCAGGGAACCACCACAAAAATGGCCACGTGAGCTAGTCTGGAAAAAAAAATTCAAATAGCACAGATTTGGAATGCACGAAGGTTAAAATGCATCAAGAAAACAGGCTGTTGGGCAAAATACGTTCCTTATTTTTCCTTCCTTGCTTCCCCTTTTCATTTTTTTGAGGACTGAACTAAACGGAACAGGAAAAAAACAATCTGCAGTTCACCTTTTCCAACCTGAACAAGTCCCAAGTATGGATACGAAGGAATTCTAAAGCAGGTCCTGTTGGCACTTAATTTGAGCATTCTTCTCACTTCGGATGCATAGGAGCAGCAAATAAACCTGTCTAAATCTGTCTTCAAAAAAATCCAACTCTAGCAGGAATCCAAAATAAATGTACAGTACTAAAAGTTGCATACAAATAGTATCAATTAATTTTTTTTTAAAGTTTGTAAAACGGAGAAAGGTTTTTAAAATGTAAATGAACTGGGGGTTTTTTTAAATCAAAGATGATATTATTATTATTATTATTATTATTATTATCGTTGTTGTTGTTGTTGTTGTTATTATTATTATTATTATTATTATTATTATTATTATTATTATTATTATTATTATTATTATTATTATTATTATCTTTGATTTAAAAAAACCCCAGTTCATTTACATTTTAAAAAAATCATTTTCAGGAATTCTGGTGAAGATTTTTATATGGGAAGGATGCCTACAAGTGCCTGCATATGTTCTGAAGGTCAGCAAAACTGAGACTTCCATATGTTTTTAAAAAATGTAGGAATACTTTGTTGTTAACAACAACAAAATTTTAATCATTTATTCTGGGGCAGCCTCAAGTCTACCCTACCCTATGCTCACCTATGTACTAATATTATGTCTTAAAAGGATAACTTTGTTATGCCTCTTGTTCAGTTGCTTGTCTATTTTTACGAATGACAGACTTACTGAAACAATCCAGAGTTTAAACTGGGATTTGTAGACCTGCGGCGTCTTTTTCCCCACTTCAAGGACTGTTGTGAGGAAAATACCCATGTAAGGAAGGGGCCAAAACAATGGAGTATCCCTT